TACATCACTGTCTGTTTTCTAACCCTCATCACTCGATGCAAAAATAAATAAATTAATTAAAAATCCCCAAAGACTCAATGCTTCCTTAAGAAGCTTCTGAGGCACCATTTTCCCTTTATTTTTCTTTTTTTCTGTGGATATGCATATCGCTTTTCTGCAGTCTGGCTTCACAGTATGGAAGCCCAGTAAAGCTACCGAAGGAAAAATAAAACCATTCACTAAGGCATAACAAGAAATATTTTCAAAACTACTACTTAGTATCTGTAACTTTTTTTTTAAAATTATGAATATTCATTATACATTCACACTTCCAATGCCAAAAGCATTCAAAGAGAGTCTGTGAAAAGGTTATTTATAAATACCCTAACAACACACGCTCACGTCTACTCACTTATATCGCTTTCATATCATATTTTAAATGGTTTTAAAATATCATCTTATTAATAACGCAATGGGACTTTTATCAAGGTGCACACCTTTACATACAGATCCCAGACAAATGTAGAACCTACTCTAATTAATTCCTTAGTTCAATACTGACACACTGAAATGACAGCAATAACCTACAAAAAACTATGAACCTCTAATTAATCAAATCTGCCAGTATCCTGAGTTCTCTAAAGTTGTTATTAAGCCCTAATGTTGCTACGAATTCATACTGAGGCACAAACCCATATGCAAATTGAAAACCAAATGAGTGGTCAATGATTGAAACTGGGCATTAAAGTCCTCAGATCATTGAGATGTTACCAAAAATGCACTTAATGGTGTGTGCATGAATGGCAGTCTTTTACTACTTAACATGAAGAGCCACCTGAGGCCTGATTAAAAATACTGAGATGGAAAATCTGTTTTTTTTTAAAAAAAAAAGGTGACATGAACACAAAATGGAACAGTAAAGACATTAGTCTGCTTGTGAGTAAGATCTACTAAATCAAGCCTAGGCTGATAAATAATGTGCTAGCTGAGCTCTTTGCTACTCTTCTCAGAGTTTACTGAAGGACTGCTGGTGGACAATGCTGCCTAGTCCACACATGACCCAAGTGAGGCCCAAAAAATAAAAAGTTGTGTCTTCAATGGCTCTGAAGTGGTTTTACCAAAACACCAGTTGACCCATGTTCTTACACTTGAATGACCTTAAAAAAAAAAACAAAAAAAAAACATGCAGCTTATTTGCATGCCTCTATCCTTGTCTCGCCTTGTCTTCGAGAGAATCATTTTCACAAGAATAAGAGATTCAGGTTGACACCAGTGACCCATAATGCACCAGGACAAAGAAATACAATTGTTTCAGTGGCCTGTACAAGTGTACTAGTACAATACTAGTATATACATTGGTGCTTGAAAGTTTGTGAACCCTTTAGAATTGTCTATATATCTGGATAAAAGAGTTACAAAAGTAGACAATTAAACAAATGAGACAAAAATATTATACTTGGCCATTTATTTATTGAGGAAAATGATCCAAGATTACATATCTGTGAGTGGCAAAAGTATGTGAGCCTCTAGGATTAGCAGTTAAATTGAAGCTGAAATTAGAGCGAGGTGTTTTCAGTCAATGGGATGATCAGGTGTGAGTGAGCGCCCAAAGTACTTTTATGTAAAGTGGTTACTCAACTATCTCTAAAGAGTTTCGACTCCACCAGATTGTGTACAAATGGAGGAAATTCAAGACCATTGTTACCCTCCCCAGGAGGAGTCGACCAACAAAGATCACTGCGAGAGCAAGGCGTGTAATAGCCCGCAAGGTCACAAAGGAACCCAGGGTAACTTCTAAGCAAATAAAGGCCTCTCTCACATTGGCTAATGTTAAAGCTCATGCGTCCAACATCAGGAAAACACTGAAGAACAATGGTGTGCATGGCAGGGTTGCAAGGAGACAACCACTGCTCTCCAAAAAGAACATTGCTGCCCATCTGCAGTTTGCTAAAAAATTACATGGACAAGCCAGAAGGCTATTCAAAAATGTTTTGTGGCTGGAAGAGACCAAAACTGAACTTTTTGGTTTAAATGAGAAGCATTATGTTTGGAGAAAGGAAAACACTGCATTCCAGCATAAGAACCTTATCCTATCTGTGAAACATGGTGGTGGTAGTATCATGGTTTAGGCCTGTTTTGCTGCATCTGGGCCAGGACGGCTTGCCATCATTGATGGAACAATGAATTCTGAATTATACCAGAGATTTCTAAAGGAAAACGTCAGAACATCTGTCCGTGAACTGAATCTTAAGAGAAAGTGGGTCATGCAGCAACATAACGATCCTAAGCACACAAGTCGTTCTGGCAAAGAATGATTAATGAAGAATAAAGTTAATATTTTGGAATGGCCAAGTCAAAGTCCTGACCTTAATCCAATTGAAAAGTTGTGGAAGGACCTGAAGTAAGCGGTTCATGTGAGAAAACCCGAAAATATCCCAGAGTTGAAGCTGTTCAGTACTGAGGAATGGGCTAAAATTCCTCCAAGCTGACGTGCAGGACTGATCAACAGTTACTGGAAACGTTTAGTTGCAGTTATTGCTGCACAAGGGGGGGGTCACACCAGATACTGAAAGCAAAGGGTCACATACTCACAGATATGAAATATACAGATATGTAATATTGGATCACTTTCCTCAATAAATAAATGACCAAGTATAATATTTTTGTCTCATTTGTTTAATTGGGTTCTCTTTATCTACTTTTAGGATTTCTGAAAATCTGATGTTTTTGGTCATATTTATGCAGAAATATACAAAATTCTAAAGGGTTCACAAACTTTCAAGCATCGCTGTACACATACATGATTTAATATTGAAAAGCCTCACTCTTTGGGTGGGTGGAAAAGATACTAGTTTTAGTTTAGTGATGTTTTATTCATGTAAAAACAGCCCACCAGTGACCCTTAATGCACCCAGCCAAAGAAATACAATTGTTTCAGTGGACTGTACAAGACGCCTCGTTTCTACCAGTACACCATCCACCATTAACTCAAGCAATGTGCTGTGTAAAAGGTCACACTTAAGCACACAAGAACCACACAGGAAAAAGGCACTAACAGCCATAAAACTGAAGTTTTTACACTCACCGGCCACTGTAATAGGAACATCTCTATCTATACCCCTGCACTTTCTTGCAATTATCCAATCAGCCAATCATGTGGCAGCAGCGCAATGCATAAAATCATGAAAATACAGATAAAAGGCTTCGGTCAATGTTCACATCAAACAGAACGGGGGAAAATGTGATAGGAAAACTACTCTCTACAACCGTGGTGAACAGAAATGCATCACAGAACACACAATGTGCCAACAGGCTAGATGGGTTAGAATAGCAGAAGACCACGTTGTGCTCCACGTCTGTCAGGCAAAAAACAGGAATCTGACGTTACAGTGGGAACAGACGCACCAAAACTGGACAGATGAAGATTAGAAAAACGTGTGCAGGCAGAATTGCGCATTGCACCGCTGCCACATGAATAGCTGATTGGATAATTGCATGAATGAGCCGGTGTCCTATTAAAGTGACCAGTGAGTGTATATAACATATAATTAAATATATAACAAAAAGTTCTATTAATAAAACTGACAAACTTTTAATAACCAAGCTGACTCTCTGTAAACTTCTGTTCACAAGATAAGAGAAATTTTGGCATGAGGCATGAAAGCAACACTCTGCGTCATTTGATTTACCCGAACAATAAACAAATTTGTTGTTCTTTAACAAAAGTATAATCATTGACAAGTTATGATCAAGATTTATGTACTGTATATTATATGGATATTTGATATGAAGAGATACTTGGCAACATTCAAACATAAAGCTGTTTTTTTCTTGTGTGGGAAAGTCTAAAGCCTTATTTGAATTGGATTCGTTTATCAGTGGGACATCTGTAATACATTTTTTTACACTTCTCCTCAGTGATAAAACTTTCACATCTGGACAGCAATAAAATGACCACAGGAGAAGCGAGTCTCTAGCGGGTTGGATTTTCTACATGGTCACATGATTTTGCATCGTTGACAACATGGCGTTCAAGTGGCCAAAGAGGCACTGGAGTAGGGAAGAGACACTGGCGTTTGGGGCGTTTGGCGTTTCGTAATTCGGGAAGTGTTTAATATCTAGGGGAGGGTCATTGATGCTCGCACTACGAGACTAAATATACAAGTAGCAGAAGTCAAAACATCTGCATCGAAAATCATGGACGTGTATCCAGATGCGACTAAAATTATCAGACGACTGCTGAGTTTGGAGAAAACCAGTAGGTAATTCTGCCTGTAATTTTCTCAGAGGAGGACGGAGAAAAAATGCAGACACGGCCAAACCGGACGGAAATAAAATCACAGAGGAGCACTTATAAAATAGGAAATTTCCCAAGGACCCCATGTAAATTTAATCCCATCCGGATAGGGCTTTAAGAGAGAGAAGAAAAGGCAGTGAATGCTAGTGAGGAATTAACTGTTTGTAGTGTTATAGTGTAACTGTGAACTGATTTTAGAAGAAAAAAAAAAAAAAGTTCAACCGGACAATCAACTCTGACGTTGTGCAATGTAGCCTAACACACCGGCTTATTCTTTAATGTGTGAATTCTGTAATAAAAAATTTAATAAATTTAAAAAAAAAAAAAAAAAAGTCCAAAAGGTATGTGACAGTCATGATCTGAAAATATTCTATTCACTTAAACACTTAACAGTTCATCAAATCTGTTTTAAAGGATCAGACTGTGTGCAATTGCAGGTATCTGTGTTCTCTACACTCACACACTCTGAAAGGACAAACTTGTGCCTATGCGACCTATATTTTTAGCATACTTAGACTCTCACCTAGAAATAAGAATCACTGACAAAAGGTTAATTAGAGACCACACTAGTTAAAGAACATTTTTACACACATGCCAGTGCACCAACACTATTGTACGTGCTTTAGATTCGGATCCTACAACCCCCTTACTTTGGGTGACCATTTCTCTTAAATGTGAAAACGTTATTTACAATTATAAATTAACATTCGTTTGGTGGATGTGGTCCCTGGAGGACTAGGGGTTAGGCCTCAGCGCTCTCATCATTGTGGCCCGGGATCGATTCCCAGCCAGGGAACCCACCCCAGCCACTGGGGTTGCACAAGACAGCGCACTTCCAGTGCCGGTCCCAAGCCCGGAAAAGACTGGTGAGGGTCGCGTCAGGAAGGGCATTCGGCGTAAAAACTGTGCCAAATCAAATATGCAGACCAATGATCTGCTGTGGAGACCCCTAATGGGAGCAGCCGAAAGAAGAAGAACAAGTAGTTCATTTAGTGTTTATCCAAAATGACTTTAATTAATAGAATCTAACTCAAGCACGGAGTTCAGAAGACCATTAATGCTCGGTTCTGTACTTTAATTGAATACTACCTCACTCACAGAAATTCAAATGAATGAAACAGCTTGATAAAGGGCTCAACCAAAGGTCTCTGAAAGTCCTGGAATTTGAACTTTCCAGCCACTAGCACAGATCCATAACTGCTGAGCTAGCACTTCTGTCATTATCTGAGCTTTAAATACACAACTGATAGTAAAATCCTTGATTTTAGATAGTTTCGAAATCAGAAAACACAAAAACATTCAAGCAGGTATTTTAAAAATTCTCAGTGGTTCACCGAGTGCTTGTACAAAGCATGATAAATCACAAACACAGCTATTCTTCTAAGATATTCAAGTAACCACGATTAAGATGTTATTAGGAAGATCCCAATCCCTTTTTTTTTTTTTACATTTTCAACATAGCACTGATGTACTGATATACACTATGTAGCCAAAGGTGTTTTGGACACCTGATCATCACGCCCATATGTGCTTTTTGAACATCGCCTTCCACATTTAGTCCCCCTTTGCCATTATAATAACTTCCACTCTTCTGGGAAGGCTTTCCGCAAGATTTTGGAGCGTGGCTGTGGGGATTTGCCAATTCACCCACAAGAGCATTAGTGAGATCAGGCGCTGATGTTGGGCGAGGAGGTCTGGGGTGCAGTCTGTGTTCCAGTTCATCCGAAAGGTGTTCAGTGGGGTTGAAGTCAGGGCTCTGTGCAGACCACTCGAGTTCTCCTACACCTACCTTGGCAAACCATGCACAGGGGCATTGTCATGCTGGAACAGGTTTGGGCCTCTTAAGATGGCTTGACACGGTATGATATTCGAGTTGATTTTTGCTGTCGCAGGCACAATCGCACATCATAAAGGATAATCTTTGGTCAGGAGTTGAGATCAGTGGTCTTAGAATGCATAATATGACATGCTCGCTCACTGGTGGCCGATTCAGTGTACCTGCGACCAAAGACAGCTCATGACAAAGTTCTGCAGGGTCAAGAAATTGTGCTGAAAATCTCAGCATGAGCACTGCTAGGACACTCGTCTAAAATCCACCCATAGGAGGAGGCATATAATTACACAAAATTCAATGGCAAACCATAAACAAAACACATGGCATTTAAAAGAAGAGCAGTTTGTTGAATTGCCGCCGAAGACAGAATGTCTCTATAACCTCATCACAGTTATATCATGACAGGTCAAAAAAGGACGTGACATGGAAAGAAACAGAGGAAGAATTACAGCTTCCAGGTGTGTATCTAGCTGATTAGCATGCAAACACCCTGTTCATAGAGTTTATTTACTTTTGTGACAACGTGAAACTATTTTTATGCTTTCCAGTTGAAGAGCTACAAACATGTCTTGCGTCGCTACGCACCCAGTTTGGCAGAACGTAGTAACTATCTTCATTGTTTAATTTGAGAAGAAAAACACGTTATCGCACAGTCTGTTACAGAATTATTATTGGGATCATCTCGTAGAGTGTGCCAAGTAATAATCGTAATAATCCGCTGGAATCGCATAGTGTAAAACCGGCTTTAGTTCTAGTGAAGGGAAACTGTAATGCTACAGCACACAAAGACATTCTATACAATTGTGTGCTTCCAACTTTGTGGCAACAGTTTAAGGAACAACCTGTATGGGTGTGATGGTCAGGTGTCCACAAATTTTTGGCCATATAGTGTACATTCATAACATATCTTCATCTACAGTCTTCACTGTTTTGAAAAGAATCTGCATCGATCCCTCTGTCCTGCAACGGTTCACCTTCCAAACCTCACTTGGGCTAATAAAGCATTGGGAGCGGCCCTGATTGGGACCCCATCAAGAGGAAATGTCAAGGACCAATCAATGAGCGTCTGTTAAAACAGTATTGGAAAGCCACTTGAGTTCCTTGAGTGCTGTAAAAGTGACAGTGTTAGGCTTCTGTGCAAGCCTGAGTGCTGATAATCTGCAGACACATACCCAGTCATTACTCGCTAAGCGCTGGCGAGTGTCGTGGCTACCTAATCTCATTCGTGGAGGGAGGGAATGCGTTTGCAGCCTTATCTTAGCTTGGCACAAGTCGTAAAATATGACGAACGTTTGCTCTGACAGCTGCCTTCATGTGACAATGCCACAATGTTCCACATTCCCTATGTGAAGGCAGGTGGTGCTAAAGTGGCACTATAGAGCGGCGACTAATGTAATACTGAGACACTTTCATTTTTGCTATAATCAAGAAGTCACCTCTCGGTTGATCCCTCTTTGCTGTCAATAGCTGTAGAATTACTCTGATCTTCCCCTGCTGTGTTTGTTCTTTAAAAGGCAGGATTTCCTGTTTTTAAAATCATGCAGAATATTCCGACCAAAGCACTGCACCAAAAAAGGTTATTATTAGTAGGTTAGTATTACAGATTAAATATGTCATCATCTGTACTGCTATAGCATACACTTTATTAATCAGCCAATCATGTGGCAGCAGCACAATGCAAAAATCATGCAGATACAGGTCAAGAGCTTCAGGTAATGTTGATATTAAACATCAGAATGAAGAAAAAGTGTGATCACTGTGACCTTGATCGTGGCATGGATGTTGGTACCAGAAGGGCTGGTTTGAGTATTTCAGAAACTGCTGATCTCCTGGGATTTTCACACACAACAGTCTCTAGAGTTTACACAGAATGGTGTGAAAAGTAAAATACACTGAGTGAGCGACAGTTCTGTGGGTAAAAAGACCTTGGTGATGGTCTGAGAGGTCAGAGGAAAATGGCCAGACTGGTTTGAGGTGCCAGGAAGGATATAGTAACTCATATAATCACTCTTCATAACCGTGGTGAGCAGAAAAGCATCTCAGCATGCACAAAACATTGAACCTTGAGGTGGATGGGCTACAACAGCAGAAGACCACATTGGGTTCTACTCGTGTCAGCCGAGAACAGGAATGTGAGGCTATCATGGGCACAGATTCACCAAAACTGGACAGCTGAAGACTGGAAAAAGACCAGGTGATTATTTTTTCTAATCTTCAACTGCCCAGTTTGGGTGAGTCTGTGCCCATGATAGCCTCAGATTCCTGTTCTTGGCTGACACGAGTAGAACCCAGTGTACTCTTCTGCTGTTGTAGCTCATCCACCTCAAGGTTTGATGTGTTGTACGTTCTGAGATGCTTTTCTGCTCACCACGGTTGTACAGAGTGCTTATTTGAGTTACTATAAACTTCCTGTTAGCTCAAACTAGTCTGGTCATTCTCCTCTGATCCCTCTCATCAACGAGGTGTTTCAGCCTGCAGAACTCCACTCACAGGATGTTTTTTGTTTTTCGCACCATTCTGTATCCCAGGAGATCAGCAGGTTATGAAATACTCAAACCAGCCCATCTGGTACCAACATCCATGCCACGATCAAAGTCAGAGATCACACTTTTGCTTCATTCTGATGTTAGATGTGAACATTAACTGAAGCTCTTGACCTGTATCTGGATGATTTTCTGAATTGCGCTGCTGCCACATGATTGGCTGATTAGATAACTGCATGAATGTACAGGTGTTCCTAATAAAGTGGATGGTGAGTGTATATTAACAGTGTAAATACTTGTACCCTATTTTCACAGAACGAGAGCAAGGAAAAGCAAGACTTAACCTCAGGACAGATTTAAACCATCTCTTTTCCACACTTTTCCACACTCTTTTCTATACTATGTGCTATGAAAGTAACTGTTGATCAGTAATGACTTTTCCTCAAAACCTGACTCATCCAGGTTCTACTGGACAGAAATGGTCATAATAAGAAAAACATCATAGCAACAGCACAATTTATGCATGAGAATGTTGATCCACCTTTTGCATTTTTAATATCATGACCATTCTAGGTGAAAGCTTCACTTGCAAAAACTCGACACCTTTTTTTCATACCATTGTGAGATTTGATTAAAAATGTGAGGAAAACATGGAATCTGCACTTGCCCACTAGTAAATAATAAAAGTATTGAAAAAGGTTAAGTTGATTTAAAAAAAAAGAAAAATCAAATTAAAATAAATAAATACGATATTTCGGAAGCTGACATGCCCCAGTCCTTTCACTTTCCTATTTGCAGATTGTGCGTATAGTGTAGATTTTCTGATGTGCGCACGCACAGTGGTGGAAAGCTCAGCATTGTGTGTGATTAGTCAGAAGCAATAGCAACGCTGATAGCAGTGTAGGTGTAACCTGTATTGTTGTGTACTTCTGTAATAAATTATCAGCTTTGCTCAAAACAGATTCTGCAGAATGTATTTATCTACAACACATTAAAATACTTTTGCTTAGTTATTTATTCGGAATCTGTCATGTCACTAAACTGTAGTGGGTGGAACGATCAGACATCACTTTATAAACTGCGTGCCAGACCCACACACTCAATTAGCAAAATGGCAATAAAACTGATTTTTATCTAGTTGATGAACTTTATTCAAATTATTACCAATTACTATTAATTACTGTGTGTTTTATACATTGTTTAGTTTTGTAAATGAGAGTTTTAGAGAAACTACTGCTGATGTGAGCTCTGATTCCTGATTATAGATTTATTCAGGAAGTCAGTCCGACACTAGGGCTGAATCCTGAACGACTCCCTCTATGACACACAGCGCACTAGGTAGTAGGTTTGGGTGATATGGCGATGCAATCGGATATTGGCGATGATTGACACGTGACCCGATGACATTGTTTGACAGGAGATAATCACCCACGCTGCATGAACGAAACAGCATTTTTGCATGGAGCATGTTGTGTATTG